AATTCCAATAACTGGTGTAATTGGCATTCCACTTCAATGAAAGGAATGCTGATAAGAGTTGGTTGAAAATGTTGGGTTTGGTGCAAAAGAACAATTGGATCAAGACACCTTTTAATTATTCGTTCCTGAAACGTTTTTCGAACATGGGAAGTAAACAGTATAAATTTTAATTTTTTGAATGGGTGTAATATCTTTAAACTTTTGAAGTGTTATGTATCTTCCCATTCAGAATTATGAATTCTCCGTTTGGGTGGATTCATGTTGGAAGATAAAATTAGCAAGGCAATGCATTTCATTTGATGATTTTCTTTCTTCTTATTTCCTGTTTACTTGATTCTGAAAACTGAAATTTCCCTCGACAAATTTGCACCGAAATAATCTTCTCCTATAAATTCATCATTAGATCATGCGTGAGATATTAGAGCGATTGGCATTGCTTGAAGGTTTTCTACAACTTTGATAAGATTAATAACGACTGGAAATCCAGCCAAGATCACCTTAATTACATCGAGCCCAATTTAAGTTCTTAAACAAATCACACCTCAATCTAGTTTCGATGAAATAACAGGAAATCCCATCACTTCACACGTTTTTTAGACTGTGTAACTATAAAATAATTTACGGGGTCTTTTATTGTAATTATCTTATTTCTTGATTTCCACAAATATGAAATGGAAAATCGTCTTGACCAACTTGACCCAATATTCATCGCTAAATATCTATATTTGTTGATAAGCATATATTACATCTAAACATGTTAAAAGGAGGTCATTATCTTTACAGTAATGAAATGGTCTTTGCTACGAAGTCTAAATTTAATACAACCGATTCGGCGACAACCTCTGAGCTTGAAAGAAAATAACCTAAAGCTGGGATATCGTTTGAAAGGGTAATGACATAGCTCTTCCATCAAATTAGCATGTTCATAAACATTTCATTATAAATTTCTCACTCAGTTACCTGCAAAAATACGTAGTAAGGCCAAGACCAGAGTCGTCACAGCAAGACGAAGAATAGCCATGTTAACAATTACGAAATAGCTATGTTAACAGTTACGAAACGGATGGAGTAGAACAACAGGTTCGAAACCAGAAAAATGTACTGGACCACACGCAAGCATGTTGCTGACGGTTTGAAACCGAAATGATCTGAACTTAGTTCGTGTCTTGAAATGCGTTATTTAGCATGAGTGAACAATAACACACTATGCTCGCTATTAAGTCAATAACATAGTACGTTCTGAAAAGCATTGATTGCAATATGCTGCTATACAAATCTGTCGATTAATGACTGAATTTGGCAAATCCTGAGCGATTTTTTTCTCGCATGTTGTAAGGGTGAGTCAATTAGACCGTTTTAATGGCCTTTTAAGGAAACGCAGACTAAATGCGCTATTTTAAGATGCTAAAAGAAGTAACAGGAAGCTTAAGTTCTTGAGACGAATCGGAAATATAAACTTACTAAATTTGATCGAATGAAACAAATTTTTTAAGTTGTACGTTTGGCAGAACTCCTTAATTTCTGACTTAACCAGAACTCAAATTTTAAAATTAAAGTCTCTCTATTTCCAGTGCTGCGTTCAGATCAAAACTCGACCACTTTGTGTCGATAGTAAATAATGCATATCATTAAAAAATTATTATAGTTCATTTGACTTTGTCTATTTCCAGTATATTGTATGTTTAATCTATAACCCAACTTATATTGCCTTGTTCATTTTCTGTTATGTTTCTTGACTTGAACATGAACCGTTTTATTCTTCCGATACTTCCTGTAGGTAATTGCCGAGTCCTTAAACTTTTGCAATAAGTTAAGCGTCCATTTAAGTCGCCACGGAAAACGAATATTGCAACGTTGGATAAATAAAAATAGAAAATAAATTCCAATATTTATCGCTAAACAAATTTTTGTTGAAAAGCGTTGGTACAACACGAACTCTATACAGCAGACTGCCATATCGGTGACAACCCCGAAATCGTAAGAAAACAGCCTCAAAGCTGAGTTATCGATTTAAAGGATTATCGCATGCTTTCCACTCAGTTAACGATTTTACAAACATTTTGTAAACTTCTGTCTAATTTACCTGCGCAGATTCGCAGTAGGGCCAAGAGCAGAGTCGCCCCAGCAAGATGAACATCTGCCATGTTAAAAATTGCCTGAAATGTTTTCAAGTCTTCTGTTGATTTGCAAACAAGTATCCAGATTCGAAACGAATAGCTCTGGAGATGAAAAACTGGTTCGAAACCAGAAGGAAGCACTGGACAAACGCACAAGCTGTCATGTTGCTAACGTTTTGAACAGAGCATGGGTTGAGCACGGGTTGATGACAGTAAGCTGGTTTTCAAATGTTTGCTTCGGAATTTTGACAAATTTGACCCAAATTAAGCATTCCCTGTGATTCAGACAAACGCAATGGAAACGAGCTCTCTGTCTGCAGTAAATATGGCTCACGGAGACCATTGTTAGCAACAGTAGTGTGAAAACTGTACTAAAATGACAAGTTT